CCCCCCCCTTCCCTCCCTCGCGCGTCCGCTTCTCTCACTCACTCCCTCAGCCCCAGCCCTCCTCCAGCTCCTCCTTCTCCCCCTACCACTACCTCCAGCCTCCGGCTGCCTGCTTCTCTCGGTGTTCCTTCTTTCCCTCCCTGCTCCTTCCCGTCACTACTCTCTCTCCCGACCGCAGTCGCTCACGCACGAGTGACTGCCGTTCCCCTCCTTCGCTCGTTCGTTTGCTCCCTCACTGGCACGCTCGTTGACTCCCTCCCTAGCTCGTTCTCCCGGTCCCGTCCCCCAAGTCCCCGCCGAGCCGGCTCCTCTCTTTCTCTCTCCCGCGCTGACGTGACGACGTAGCTTACGCCTCGGGACGCGCGCCCAAGAGCTCCGCCCCGCGCCCTACCGCCTCCATTGCTTCTCACCCCCCGGGGAGCGCGAGACCCCGCCCTTCCGCTCCAGCGGCAGCAGAGGGGCCGAGAGTGAATGAAAGACCCGCCTCTTCCCCTCCCGACACGTTCCCTCCCGCACCCCTCCAGGCGGGGCGGGCCGGCTCAGCGTGTCCCACTCGTTCTCCTTTGTCAGGAGACTGGCATCTCCTACCGCGCCCCACTCCACCCCACCCCTTCCCACCCCCACCCAACACCACGCGCAAGCCACCGTCACAGGACTGCCGCCTGTCCCTCCCGCGCCCCGTCCCGAGCCAGCTGTGCACGGGCCTCGGGACGCGATTGCTGCGCCGCGGAAGACACCCACCGGTCTGTGCGCGCCCGGCCCCCGCCCCCAGCGTCGCGGCCGCGTAGCCGTTCCAGGCGGTGTCCACGCCGCGCCGCCCAGCGCTCGGCTCGCTCGGGAAGCTGCAGGCGCACGTGTCCCCCGGGGCGGGGCGAGGCAGACAATGGGGCCGCGGGGGAGGGGGTTAGCGCGGAGACTAGTGGACCCTCATTTGGCCAGACCGGTACGTCTTGGGTGCGGGAGTCGCCCCGGGTCTCATTCTTCACAGCCGTACAATGGGGTCGCTAGGAACCCCAAGCCCTAATCCTTCACTTCTTGAGAACCTTAGTCGGAGGGAGGGACGCCCGAGACTCGGACCTGGAAACCCTAGCTGCTTTTGAGGGGTACCGAGGTGACTCCAGTGAAGCTAAGAGTGCCTCCTGTCTTGGGAATGACACGAAGGCCAGAATTGGAAGCGAAAACGCCCCTTGGTGAAGGGTTGTGCAATCTGGCGTTTCAGTCGCTGGCCTTTTAAGCAGTTCTGGGCTTCCTTATGGCAGTTTGAGCAACTTGATGCAGCACAAGATTAGTGGTTAAGGCAACTATAAGGAAAATATGTTTCTTTTTTTTAAAGCTTATCAACTAAATTTTAAGTGAAGTGACATCTCCTTTTTAACCATTACTAGGCACAAGAAAGACGAAAGGCATGAGTTTCAGAACTAATTTTACCCAAAGAATCTATGTTGTTGTTAATGTTATGTGCTGTGGAGTCAGTTCTGACTCAGAGTGACCCTGTACAGGGTTTCCGAGGCTGTAAGGAGCAGAAAGCCTCATCTTCCGCGGAACAGCTGGTAGTTTCGAACTGCTGACCCTGAGGTTCGCAGCCTGATTCGTAACCACTATGCTACCAAAGCTTCTTAAAGAAGCTATAATGCAATAATAATAGCGTCTTTTTCATGAAAAACTATGCTTATTTTAAAGAACTGTTGGTGCCTAAAATGAGACAAATGCTATGACAATACCCAGTGGATGGACGAAAAGTTGGATGAGAATTTTTCAAAGCACATAAACTGCTGGATTGTTTTCATGAAAACCTGGAACAAAATATGAATTATGTCTGACCAAAGTACTGTATGTTGTTGTTGATATTAAGTGCAATCTAATTGGTTCTGACTCAGAGACCCTGTATAGGGTTTCTGAGGAGTGGCTGTTGGGTTTGAACCGCCACCTTGCTGTTCAAGCCAACCTTGCTGTCCAGTGCTTATCCTACAGTGCCACACCAGAACACCAGAATAATCTAGTCAACCTATTTAGCAAAGGTGAGAACTCTCTACTATCTAAAGGCTCCTTAATATCAATATATTTTAGTCCACAATTCAGATGTCCTGAATAACAAGTGAATTGTTAGCATAAAAAATAGTGTGATCCTATGTATTTCAAAAACAGCTACAACAGTACATTGACAAGAGAACTGCCAGAAATTCAAGCTAGATTCAGAGAGGACATGGAATGAGAGATATCATTGCTAACTGCAGATGGATGTTGGCTAAAAGCAGAGAATATGGAAAGATGTTTTCTTGTGCTTTATTGACTATACAAGGGCTTTCAACTGTGGATCATGACATGCAAAGGATAGCATTGTGAAAAACGGGTATTCCAGAACACTTGGTTATGCTTATGAGGAACCTGTACACAGACCAAGAGGAAGTAGTTTGAACAGAGCAAGGGGACACTGAATGGTTTAAAATTAGAAAAGGTGTTTGTCAGGTTTGTATTGTTTCACCATACTTATTCAAACTATATGCTGAACAAATAATATGAGAAACTGGATTATAAAGAAGAATGTGGCATTGGGTTTGGAGGAAGACTTGCGATATACAGATGGTACAACCTAGTTTGCTGGAAGATAGAGAACTTAAAATACTGATGAAAAGACTACAGTTTTCAGTATGGGTTATACCTCATTGTAAAGAAAAAGAAATCCTCACAACTGGACCAATAAATAACATAATAGATAGAGACATGATTGAAATTGTCAAAGATTTTATTTTGTTTGAATCCACAATCAGCACTCATACAAGGAGCAATCAAGAAATCAGATGTATTGCATAGTCAAATCTACTGCACAAAACCTCTTTCACGTGTTCAAGAGCAAAGATGTCAGTTTGAAGACAGGTGTGCCTGATCCAAGCCATGGTCTTTTCAAACACCTTGTATGACTGTTAAAGTTGGACAATGAATAAAGAAGACAATAGAATAATAAGTGCATTTAAAGTATGGTGTTGGCGAAGAATAGGAGAAGAATATTAAAAGTACAATGGACTGCCAGATAACAAGCAAATCTCTGTTGGAAAGACAGATGGAATGTTCCTTGGAAAGCAGGAAAGTGAATCTTCACTTCTTTTACTTCAGACATTTGGAGAGGCAAGTCCCCAGAAAAAGATAGCATGCTTAGTGAAGTGGTTGTTGTTAAGTGCCGTCGAGTCGGTTCCGACCCATAGCGACCCTGTACAGGGTTTCCGAGGGTGTAAATCCTTATGGGAGTAGAAAGCCTCATCTTTCTCCCGCAGAGCGGCTGGTAGTTTCAAACCACTGACCTTAAGGTTCGCAGCCCGATTCGTAACCACTACGCTACCAGAGCTCCATTGGTGAAGTGGAGGATCAGTAAAAACTAGGAAGACCCCCAATTAGATGGATTGGCACAGTGACAGCAGCAATGGGCTCTAGCATAACAACAATTGTGAGGATGACTGAGGACCAGGCAATGTTTCATTCTGTTGTATATAAAGTTACTATGAGTCTGAGGCAACTTGATGGCACCTAACAACAACAATAACATGAATTAAGGAGAAGCACTGGAAGTACAGAGGAGCTCTGGTAGCGCAGTGGTTACCAGTCGGACTGCGAACCTCAAGGTCAGCAGCTCAAAATTACCAGCTGCTCCGCGGGAGAAAGAAGAAGCTTTCTGCTCCCGTAAAGATTTACAGCCTCAAAAACCCTGTGCAGGGTCGCTATAAGTCAGAACCGACTCCACGGCACACAACAACAACAACTGGTAGTACAGTGGTCAAGCTAACAGAAAGTTAACACTGTAGGAGAAAGACTAGGCAATCTGCTTCTAGAAATATTATAGCTAAGAAAACCTTACTGTACAGACAGCACAGTTTTACTCTGTTGTTTTTAGGCACATAATAACAACATGGGTTAAGCAGAGGACAGAAATAATGTATCTGCACCATACAAAATTTTTGTTTGCATCTTCCTGAGTCCTGGTAGCATAGTGGGTTACCAATTGGACTGCTAACCACAAGGTTGCTCTCGTAAAGATTTACAGCCTCTGAAACCCTATACAGTGTCACTAAGTCAGAACCGACTCAATGGCATGCAGAAGCAGGTGATCAAAGTTGTTCCAAAAAATGCTTCTAACTAGGCAATGTGGTTCCCTAGATAATTAAATGACCAAAGACCCAAATTTAAATCTCTGACACTTCTTTGACTTTTAGTTTCTTTGTCTAACTTCTCCTGGACATTTATATGTCAGATACTCTCAGATACTCCAAAGCAGCATTTCTAAAACCAAGCATATGACCTGTCTCCTATTCTGTCATCTCATCTCTGAGAGTTCCCATCTCAATGAGTATCACCTGCATCCATCCAGCACCATTAATTGGAAACCTGAAAGTCATTCAGGACACTTTCTTCTTCCCAACTGCCACCTGAATTCATCAAATATTGTCAATTCTGCCTTCTAAATATTATCTCCACTTCTCTCTATATTGCAGAAGAAAGCTATGGAGCCAATTTTTCTTGTTCAGTGCTGTGGAGTCAGTTCTGATTCATAGTGACCCTGTAAAGGATTCCCAAGGAGGAGTTGGTGGGTTTCAACCACTGACCTTGAAGTTAGCAGCCCAGTGCCTACCCTACAGTGCCTAAGAATTGACTCAGTAACATTGGGTGGGTTTGGGACTTTACAAATCCTGGGTTAGGCATTAGTCTGATAAATGTAAGGTTGGCGGTTCAAAACTACCAGTTCTGGAGAACGATGAAGTTGTTTGTGCCTGTAAAGATTTATAGT